AATCCGGAGTTTCGAGCTCCGTCAACGAACGAAGATCAGGTATGCCGTTGACTACGCCAAGAAATTGAAGATCAGGTGGGCCGGACACGTTATTCGGTATAGTGATGACCGTTGGACCAGGGCGGTTACTGTCTTGATCCCTCGGAACATCAAACGAACTCCAAGAAGGCCGCCAACGAGACGGTCAGACTTCTCCACGAAAGCTCTGAACGAAAGGAATGTTGATCCTCGCGTCCCTGGAGCGATTCATGGGACCACTCTGGCTCGTAACAGGGACGAATGGAGACGTTACTGGCGCCCGCTCGAGGAAATCGACGATCAATGGGACGACAGGTGATACAGGTGATACATCATGCGTACATCATGCCACAGTCCATATTATAATAATAACTTTTCCTTCCATGCTGCTTCAGTTTCTTTTCACCATCTTCGTGCTGTTTCATAGAGTTTCATCTATCCCTCTTAGCCGCAAATACATTCATCTTCATTCATTCCTCTTTCTGCGGAGAGGTGCCAGCAACAAGATGTGTTATGTAGCATTATTCTGTCAACCATCGCAGGTAGTTCGTGAAAGAGTGCTGCTATTCATCGCAGATAGTTCGTGAAAGAGTATGAAAATTTCGGGGTGAACTTACTTGTTGTTGGCGTTCTTCTGCATGTAGACACAATTACCCGTGCCACTGATTGGATGGCCTTTCGCCCATTTTGTGAATCTGCCAACCTTAAAAGAGATCGTTTATGCAAGGTGATGTGGTTCTGCAAATCTCGTACGACGCGATGGATTTGCTGGTCGCACTGCAGTTAACTGACGTAGTTGGCGAGCACAGCTGAGAAAGGTGTACCTCCGCAAACTACATTTGTTTTGTATTTCACTGCGATTACTGCGCGACGAAAGACCACTAGCCTGTCATATAAATTACCGTCAAATCCATATGGGTACCTAGATTATTCGGCAAGACCTCGATCTTACATGGTTAACTGAGCAATACGAAAATCTGCTCTATTGTGAATGGTGCGTCCCTACCTTTGGAGCCCTTATCACGCTCTGTCTAGGCCATTTTTTGACCCGGCAGTTTCCCATGTGATATCCGCGAGGAACTCACGTACTTCTTAGGAGAATTTCAGAAAACCATTTTAATGTGAACTTTGCCTGTGAGTATAACAGGTATCAATAGGCTTGCACTGATGTGGGAAATGCCTAATGTTTCTCAAGCACTGCCTTTGGCTGCTTTCATAGTCCACGATCAGTCGCGCGACTGGTCGCTCGACTGGTCACTCGACTGATCGCGCCATCTGCTTGGGACCGTCCACCGCGGCACTCAACACTAGCACGGCCTCCTCGACCGATCATGTGACCAGTGGCGCGATCAGTCGAGCGACCGGTCGCCGGTCGCTAGCGAGATGGGTCCGCCACTGGTCGCGCGACTGGTCGCCAAAATCGTGGGCTATGAAAGATGCCTTTGAAATATTTCTGTGCACGTCGATATTGTGAATTTTTTCTATTTTCGAGAAATACGTAGGTTCCCTTTTATATTTCGGGATTAGAAAACAAGAATAAATGCTAATAATTAGAAATTGCTTTACTGCCTTTAAAAATTCCCTTCACTAACTCTAAAACATGTCTCTGAACGCATAAACGGCCTCTTCAGGTGTCGAAGAACGTTGACCTCTCATTTTATTTTTTACATACGGGATAAGAAGAAGTTACCCGTAGACTACATGGCTGATGACCTGTCTGAGTCTCTGCTTGAGTGCTCAAGAATGCAGTTCTTTGATCCGATGTGTGGGGCTCGCATTGTCGTGGTGAAGAGTGATCCGTCTCGGCAGTTGGTTTTCCTGATTTTTCGGAAGACAACTGGCTAACAAATGTTTGTATACCATTCAGAATTGGCTGTTCTGCGTTGTTCTAGTGGCACAGTTGCGACATGTCCAGTTTCTAAAAAATCAGGCGACCAGCTGCTTGGCCACATACGGTCGACTGCTGTTCACTTTCGGGCTCATACGCGTAAACCCATGATCCACCACCTGTCGCGATGTCATAGACGTGTTTCGAAGCATNTCTTTCGGACAATAGACGCGAGCCTTTTTCTCGATGAATTGACAAATCTTATGGGATCAATTTTTTACAGTCAAATGTTCATGCAATATTGAATGTGTGCTGGTCCCATTAATGCCTAAGGTTGTTCCAATCTTACGATAGGTCATATGACGATCTTGCAATATTAGTTTGCGCACAGCATCGGATACAACAACTGATTTTGGAGACCTCCACGAAATTCGTCTTTCAGTGAACTACGACCTCGGTTGAATTCACCATACCGTCGATAACCACTGATCCTTGGTGGAGCTCCATCGCCAATGTGGGAGGGGGAGGTTTAAGGGGAAGGAGCTTTGGCCTAAGTGGGGGGTCGGGGGCGCCAAGGGCATGAGTAAATGTTTTAAGTTAGTGTAAACAACACAAGGGGCGCTCATATGTCAAAACGTTCTAAGTATAGCCCTCAAAAGAATCAGATTTTACGATAGAGCTGCCAGTTGCCAGACTGCAACACCACATTCTAGCCTTCAACTGTATAGAAGAAGGAAGTCCTTGTAACTCACTGAGAAACCGTCTGGCCACATCCACTCGTTGCCTTTCCATTCCAGTCCTAGCCAGAAGTTTGTCTTTGGTGGAACCACTGAAATGAGTGAATTTCAACCTCTTCTATACCTTTACTACATTTTTGATGTTAATTGATGCTATTCAGTGTATTTACTTCCTTTTCCCATGAGATGCTCTTTTTGGAAGATTTCTTTCGGCAGCGTAAATCTTCTGGTGAAAAAAACTTAGTGGCATCGTGTGCGAATTCCGTTGGATAGAGCATTTGGAGTAGAGTGGGGCTCTACTTATAGGTATACATATGTAGCACCTAATACGGACTACATTCTATCACAGTAACTTTTGACGTGTCCCGGGCAGTTTTTTATGGCAGGAACTTAATCTGTGAGTAGTTTGCCTCCGTGGTTTACATGCGAATTATCCAGCAGAATCGCACGACCCGAGCATATCACACCAGTGGACTATTTACAAGTTGCTTCAGCCTTGCTGCTGAGGATCATTATGAACCCATTGTGGCATTTCATTTAATCTAAGAGTGTGCTCAACCAGAGAAGTTTGAAAATGAAACGGGAACCGATTCATCTATCTAGTATTCAAAAGAAATTTGTGCGAAAATCTTAAAGGCACAGTTCACGATTATTTTGGGTGATGATGAAAAATGGAAGACAAGATCGAAAATAGTGCGATGTAGGTGAAGAAACTGCGTGGATCGGTGTTTTCAAAGTGAAAAAAGGCTTCGAAAAACCGTTAAAAAGGGGCTTGACGAGAATGAGACCAGAAAAAGGAAGAGTGAGACGTTCGGACGAGCTATACAATGTGTCTCACTGCGTGCGTCTGGGTCCTTCTGCGAATAACAGACTATGGTAAGCAAAAATTCAATCACATGTAAGCATAAGTAAACAAAAAAGCAGCAACAGCAAAAGTGCCTCACCTTTTTGAGCCTCTAGGACTAGGAAGTTAAATAAGGGATCGCGGCAGCAAAAAGATTAACGGAGGAAAAAAAGAATGGGAGAAAAACATCGCCTCATCTCTCGGCGATCAGCTGGTTGTGTGTGGGTCCTAGAACGAATAGTTCCATTGTCTCGACACTCGTTTGACGTGACGTCGATCGAGGGGCGGAAAAGCGGTAGACAGCAACAGGGTACCCACTATGCTCTGAACGTCGAAATTTTGGGAGCGAGAGAGAACCTTCTATCACCTGTGGGGGCCACTGAGTTTTCTGAGGGAAGAACTAGTAACCATTTTTATCGTGAACCATGCCTTTAGGAGCCACAGGAGGCGGAGCTAAGTACGAAGTTCTGCTAGCTTTTGAGGTCCAATATGGGGCTGCGCGCCCACAAAGTTGGCATTAGGACGACATTTTTTTGACCAGATCCATTCACGCTAATGCCTTTGCTTCTAGGAAAGTAAGAACTGAACCTGAGTGGGTTCGACCAAAAAGAGGTGGAAGTCTCATAATGAACGAAAGGGTACATGAAGCACATGAACTGCAAGTTTTACATTTGGTTATTAGGAGCGCATAACAAAATCCGGTGATTGAACGTCAAATTCAGAATTCACACTACTGGTTAACGATTTGCGAAATTGTTCGCCATAGTGGAATACGTTGGCCGCCAAACTGTTACGTTAGGACTGAGAATTCATCACTTTTTTTTTACATTTCTGTTTGTTACAACGCAAAATATTCCGGCTCAATTGGAGGTGCTTCTGACCCCTTCCGATCCATGTGGAATACGTCTTTTGGTCACTGATGCAAGGGATGCATAGTACTAGGTATTATGTTGTGATGATTTGTTTATTTCCTGTTTTTTTTTCTGGCAACATTAACACTTGCCACTTCTGATCCAGCTGTAACCCACTATGGAATTATGCAAAATATAAGTGTCAAAGTGCTTACGGTTTGTCAGAAACGCGTCCTTCTTGGGGTCCTCAACGACAGCGAGTACACCGTCATTTTTTCGGTGACATGTCCTTTTGGATAACATCTGTAAAGATCATGCCTTATCAAAGAATAACAATCGAACTACTGTAATTCTCGTTTGTATCCGTGCCATTATAAGAAGGTTCCTTTCACCCTGGCCCTTAGTTGGTTTTTCGTCACAATTACCTCAGAATCACATTAGTGGCCATGTCCACGACGTCAGATAGATTTTTCGTAGCTCATAAGCACTATAGAGTCACGAAGGCTCTCTTATCTTCGACGATTTTGCCAATTTCCTCTCATCTTGAAATAAATGGTCGACTAGCTTTCCCATCACTGACTCTGAGATTGGATGTTTTTGAAACAATGAAAAAATTTCATTGCTTCGGGACTGTTCCGACTTGGCAACGGCGTCCCTTTTCAACCCATTTCCCCTCTGTTTTACAGTTTTTTTTTTGAAGGAGAATTTCTTGGAAGCACAGCTCACGACAGTTTTGGGCTTCATATTTCCAGTAATTGAAGTTTCAGTCGAGATTAGTGCAAAAGTGGCGATGAAAACGCGGAAATCTTCTTGATCAGAGAAATGTTAGCCTTCAGAAAATGGTAAAGTTAGAATTGGCAGAGTGTGTGACGACAAAAAGTGCATGGAGGGGATTCCGGACGAGCTGTCTGAGTGTATGTGCCATTCATTAAGTACCATTGGGTGTAGTGGGCTGTCTGCTTGCGATATGTGCGTCCCGGTATGAGTGGTGCATCCTCTGTAGCCTTGACAAGGGTAACGTAACTTCTCCCGGAATTCTCACGGCCTGCGGCAGTGGTTCCGCGGCGACTCTCCGTACCTTCCATTGGGAATTCAAATCTTTCCCTTCATGGCGCGATCGCGTGCGACAGCGCGACACGCCGTTCGGGGAGAGGATGCCAGACCCGCTTCGACCATGCTCTACAACTTTTGCACCTTGGGTGTACGTCAGCTGACCCCGTCTAGGGCTCTTATTACGTTCTATCTTGGCCGTTTTCCGACCCGACAGTATCCCTTGTACAAACCTGCAGGGTAACAGCTTCATCCTAGGAAGAAATCTCAGGAACCATTTTAATCGGGAGCTGTGCCTTTATTATTTAGTCGTAGTGGCTGTATGGATTGTACGTGCTTTTCGCGTCGGAACTAGCTTACATATGTTGCACTCAGGTGAAGTCTATCGCTCGACCATAATTATTACAATTTTAACGGTTCCAGATGAGTGCTATTCTCTGGAAAAGGTGTTGTCATTGGCCATTGTCGTCTTCACTTGTCGTTCATACCACCAAAAGATCGAGAAAACAATGCTTTAAAGCTGCTGTAAATCATCTTCGGGATTCGAAAAGGTCTCAGACTTTCCGTGGTTACCTTTGGAAGTTTGAGATTTCGAAATTCTAGTTCATAAGTGTATACAAATACATATTCATTCGATAGACTTCGTAATATAGACAGTCATTTCATTCCTTTAAGTACCACATTTCATGTTCTAACGGAAGGTAAATCCTGTAGTTAGCGGGCATTGAGCTGTGTCGTCATCGAGTCGAGCAGATATTGGAATGGTGATCCTACTACTAGTTATTCGAATGCCACTCCAGAACAGGAAAGATGAGACCTGGTAGCGAAATCATAGAGAATTTTGGGCATCTGCATGGGCAAGATCTTAGCGAATATGAATGACCGAAATCTTTGGCATACTTGATGACTCCCAGCGCGGTGCGGTGGCTGGACCTAAGCTGTGGACTGAATCGTCCCACCATATAGAGTCACTTAGCAATTTTAGAAAGCAGATTGTGGTTTGACATTTTTAGGCTTCCAAATTTTCCTTTTTGTCCCTTTATGCCCCACATAAGTGCCCAAGTGTCACTGAGACGTAATAACTGGATTCGAGTCGTTGTGGAAAAACGGACCTGTTTTGAGGAAATTTTCACTGGAAGGTAACATCCTCCTTGAGGTGCGCTCCACTTGTCAGTGTACGGTATCCATTTCCTTTTACAGAAGCAATTCGCTGAATTATTCATTGTATAGGAAGTTAATTGTCTATACTCTAGAACTTCTCTCATTGTCAGTAGTAAAAGGGAGTTGCCGAAAATTCATAGGCTGCTTTCATAATCCGCCGGCCGGCCGGCCGGCCGGCGTGCCGGCGGAGGCAGTGCTAGCGGGGAGGAGGGAGACAGACAGATAGGCAAACAGTCCACGCCCCTTCGAAGGGTTGAAAACGGGTGTATGTCGTTTGGCGCGATGGGCGGGGTCGCGCCGCCCATTTGAGGCGGCGCGACTCCGCCCATCACCCCTTCAACTCATTCAGATCGCTAATCTTCCGCTATCCTCTCCTCTATAGATGATAGAAGCCCTATCCAACATCTATAGTGGAGAGGAGAGCAGAAGATTACGCGATCTGAATGAGCTGAAGGGGCGA